AGCAAGAGGGCTCCACAGTGCTATCTGCCAGGGTGGCGGTGCAGAGGTAGCCCATTTTCCCTCAGTGTTTTAGGTAAAAATCTATATATATTTTAAATCCATACTAGAAACTGAAAGATCGATATTATATTCGGCTTAAAGCTAGAAGGAGATCAGTTTTAAGAAGCTGTTGAAATGACTTTCTACCATTAACACTGTTAGAAAGAGAGTTGTGCAAGACATTCAGCAGGTAACAAGAAGGCTGGATGGAGTGCCACAAGAGTGGCCCAGTTTTATCCTCTCTAATCCATGTGTTAAATAAATATGAGATGTGACAGCTTCACATTGAAGTTTTTTTTCTATGATAAAGGCAGCTACTGCATTTGTTTTGATATATCCAATCAAATCAACTGATTCCACTTTTTGTGATCAATGTTCTGGATTGAAACATGTGGGGGCGCCAGAACTCACTACACTGGAGGACAACAGGATATAATAAATGAAAGGTATAGTGGAGGTTTTTCGTGATTTTTTTAAAAGATTTGCCATCGTCACCAAAAAAAAAAAAGCACATGCACAAACCTGTACCCGCCCATGAGAGGGAACGCCTATAAATCGTGTGTGAGAGCGTGCACAAGCCCATTTGTCCTCGTGCACGCTCTGTTTAAAAGTTGCTGTTTGCATGGCTAATACAAGCTTACTTTCCAAAAGAAGAGGTGTAATTTTTCCTCTATGTCAGACTCACCACCGGTAAGTGAAAATGGGGACGAGCACATTCGTATATCGCCGGAATGATTTAGGAGGACCAATCATTTTGATGATCCACTCGCTAAAAGAACATCCTTCACTATACCTTTAAGCCGATGGGTCAATATTTACCCTTTATCTTAACATAAATGAATGAACTTATCTTGATTTCAAAGAGTTCGTCACACTGTTCCTCCAGATGTTGAAGTTACATTTGATTTGCAACAAAGAGAAGAAAACGTAGAAATACACGACATGTTGTAGAAAATGTTTCAGTGAAGTTACATTTGCTCAAGACAAGGTGGTCAGGCTCAACTAAATCACATGGGAAACATTACAACCTGATTTATGTGCACTATTGGTCATCATACGTAAAATTAGTAGGTTAGAGTGAAGAAGTACTTCTCACATCATAAAAGTGAAGTTGTGCCACTTAAAGCATTAACAGGGGAAGAAAAACCGTGACTTTATTTACTGGCACATCAAAGCTGTACAAAAACTGAAGATCGAAAACTGGCCACCAGGTTAGCGTCTCTTAACTTTTGTGTATATGTTAAACAAAAC